CTAATGAAAGATGTAAAATAGCAATGTAAAACACTTATATAATTTACAACATTGTCTCACTACTATGAAACTCATATTTAATTAATATGGAGCAAATGAACCATGTAAAATAGCAATGTAAAACACTTATATAATCTACAACATTGTCTCACTACTATGAAACTCATATTTAATGAATATGGAGCTAATGAAACATGTAAAATAGCAATGTAAAACATTCTTATATAATCTACAATAATGTCTCACTACTATGAAACTCATATTTAATGAATATGGAGCAAATGAAACATGTAAAATAGCAATGTAAAACACTTATATAATTTACAACATTGTCTCACTACTATGAAACTCATATTTAATGAATATGGAGCTAATGAAACATGTAAAATAGCAATGTAAAACATTTTTCAGGTTGTCTCAAGTGATGTACACTAATACCTGTCAGATATAAAAGTATTTACCACAAGAAACTGCTTCATTCCTCACTCCTGGAGGATCATGGACAAACAAATGCACCTGATACCCATCTGGAAAAATTTTCACATCTTGTCTCCCGCACATGTAACCATCTCACTCAGTTTGGGGTTTTAGTATTTCATATCTTGGTTTTTTTTTAACTGTTAACACTTCTCACAATATAACACAGCTGGAAATTCCTAATATAAATATTGAACTTAAAAAAGGTGCCTAGCCCTTATTTGTGGAAACCATGAAGGCAAAGGTAACAAGTGCCAAAACGTCATCCAGGCCTAATCTTTTCCAGGTATACTGTCTGCTCAGAAGTACAGACCATGCTTCACTTTTAATTTGTATTGTACTTGTATTTCTTATTACATTTTTGTTTTTATATTGTTCCCAAACCATTAAAATGCTTTTGCTACTAAATGGATAACATGTCAAACTGCTTTGTCTAATATGAAAAATGAAAGTATCATTCATTCTATTTTTCTAAGAGCAAACAGTCTAAACCTTTAATGCACAGGCATAAAATTTTATTTTCTTTGCTGGAGAGGGTGGGTTGGTCGATAATCAACATGCAAAAAGTTTGTTAGGCCTACATATTATGTACTTTTCCATGTGGAGGGGGGAAAACATACTTGGCACATATGCATTACTGTATTACATTAGGAATAAGATTGCCCACCAAAGACACAGGTATATGCATGGGCACACTCACACACATTGAAAAAAAAATTATACTTGGCATTTGATACAAATTACAAACCTGTTCTTTTAACTCATTCAGTTGTTGCGACAACCCTGACACAAGCTTCTGAGTATTCTGAAGCTGTGCCTGTAAGGTTCGAATTTCATTTTGCTCACCCTCAGCCTCATTTGCTGCCAAAGACATGGCTCTCATCCGTGGAAACCAGTCCAAGTTTCGATCCTAGTGATGAGGAGAATATACT